ACTCATATTTTCTTTCTGGCTTCATTGAATTACTTGCAGCAAAGACAAAAAACAAACTATAATTTGTTTTATCATCTGACTCAGGATTTATTTATGATTACCCTGGTCAGCCACAAGTCTATGCTTCAAAGTGTGAGGTCATTAGAACCTCTTTAAAAAATGATGTTGAAGCTTAAAAAAACCCACATTACCCCCTAACTTTTCTCTTGGACACTTCTAAACCATTTCATCTCAGGAGGAATTAAAAAATAGCCTGAGGAAAAAATTTCACTCCAGATGGTTAAAGTCTGGCAAAATTATAAGGAACTGAAAAGTTAGACCGATAATGGGATGTGTCATACAGACTTGATAATAGGCAAATGTTAAAAAACATGTAAATATGAGGTAAGTGGTAATTTGTTTTCCTACTTTGTTTTGGAGCATCAAAATAGAAGCAGTTAAAATAAGATATAATAGATTAATCATAATTTTAAGATAGTGTGTAGAACGATGGTTACTGCCTTATTCCTAATAGATATTTGGAAAAATGAAGACAGCTTTAATCACAAAGGAGATGTTTAATTTCATAGTGTAATATACAGAATATGAAAACACTTCTAATACCAGAGGTATTAATACCAGAGGTACCACTTCAGTCTGCCATCCCTGTGGACGTAGGGGATGGAGTGCCATGTGATAGCAAAGACACAAGTGATATTGATGGGCTAGAAATCATGGAAGCACCTGGGAATGGTCAGGTAGGAATTAGGGCTTCCCCCACAAAAAGGTGGCATGATCAATAGCACAACTGAAGTGCATCTACACCACTGCACGCAGCATGAGCAACAAACGGGAGGAGCTGGAAGCCATTGTGCAGCAAAACTATTATATAGTTGCCATCATAGAGACGTGGTGGGATGATACGCACAACTGGAGTGCTGCATTGGATGGCTGTAAACTCTAGAGAAGCGATAGGCAAGGAAGGAGAGGTGATGGAGTGGCCCTGTATGTTAGGGAGTGTTTTGATTGTCTTCAGGTTAATGATGGTGATGACAGGGTTGAGTGTTTATGGGTAAGAATCAGGGGGAAGGCCAACAACTCTGTTATAGACCACCCAACCAGGATCAAGAGGCAGACAAAATATTCTATAAGCAGCTGGGAGAAGTCTCACAGTCACTACCACTTGTTCTCGTCGGGGACTTCAACTTACCAGATGTCTGCTGGAAATACAATACAACAGAGATGAAACAGTCTAGGAGGTTCCTGGACTATGTGGAAGATAACTTCATGACACAGCACGTGAGTGAGCCAACTAGGGAAGGCGCCCTGCGAGACCTGTTGCTCATGAACAGAGAAGGGAGTGATGTGAAGGTTGGAGGCTATCTTGGGCATAGTGATCATGAAATGATAAAGTTTTCAATTCTTGGAGAAGTGAGGAGGGGGGTAGTAGAACGGCCACCTTGGAATTCCAGAGGGCAGACTTTTACCTGTTTAGGAGACTGGCTGACAGAGTCCCTTGGGAGGCAGTCTTGAAGGGGAAAAGGGTCCTTTCTTTGGACATTCTTCAAGAAGGAGATCTTTAAGGCACAGGAGCTGGCCATCCACATTTGCCATAAGACAAGCTGGCAGGGAGTAAGACCAGCCTGGCTAAACTGAAAGCTTTGGCTGAAACTCAGGAAGAACAGGAAAGTTTATAGCCTGTGGAAGAAGGGGCAGGCCACTCAGGAAGTCTACAAAGATTTTGTGAGGCTATGCAGGGAAAAAATTAGAAGGGCCAAAGCCCAACTAGAACTTAATCTGGCTACTGCCCTAAAAGACAATAACAAATGTTTCTTTAAATACATTAACAACAAAAGGAGGACTGAGAATCTCCATCCTTTATTGAATGCGGGGGGAAACATAGTAACCAAGGATGAGGAAAAGGCTGAGGTACTTAATGTCTTCTTTGCCTCAGTCTTTAATAGTAAGACCAGTTGTTTGCTGAGTACCCAGGCCCCTGAGCTGGATGACAGGGATGGGGAGCAGCATGAACCTCCCATAATCCAAGAGGAAATGGTTAGCGAACTGCTACACCACTTAGATGCACACAAGTCTGTGGAGCCAGATGGGATTCACCCAAGTGTACTGAGAAAGTTGGCAGAAGTGCTCACCAAGCCACTTTCCGTGATTTATCAGCAGCCCTGGCTAACTGGGGAGGTTCCAGCTGACTGGAAGCTCGCAAATGTGACACCCATCTACCAGGGCCAGAAGGAGAATCTGGGGAACCACAGGCCTGTCAGTCTGACCTTAGGGATGGGGAAGGTCATGGAGCAGATCATCTTGAGCGCCATCACGTGGCATGTACAGCACAACCAGGTGATCAGGCCCAGTCAGCATGGATTTATGAAAGGCAGGTCCTGCTTAACTAACCTGATCTCCTTCTATGACAAGGTGACCTGCTTAGTTGATTAGAGAAAGTGATCGCAAGTGATGTTCCCCAGGGTTCGGTATTGGGGCCTGTTCTTTTTAATGTCTTTATCAACAATCTGGATGAGGAGATTGAGTGCACCCTCAGTAAGTTTTCAGAGGACACCAAGTTGGGTGGGAGTGTTGATCTGCTTGAGGGTAGGAAAGCTCTACAGAGGGATCAGGACAGGCTGGATCAGTGGGCCGAGGCCAATGCTATGAGCTTCAACAAGGCCAAGTACCGGGTCCTGCACTTGGGTCACAACAGCCCCATGCAATGCTACAGGCTTGGAGAAGAGTGGCTGGAAAACTCCCTGGTGGAAAGGGACTTGGGTGTGTTAGTTGACATCTGACTCAATATGAGCCAGTAGTGTGCCCAGGTAGCCAAGAAAGCCAATGGCATCCTGGCTTGTATCGGGAATAGTGTGGCCAGCAGGACTAGGGAAATGAGCATCCCCCTGTACTTGGCACTGGTGTGGCCACACCTCAAATACTGTGATCGATTTTGGGTCCCTCACTATAAGAAAGACATTGAGGTGCTGGAGCATGTTCAGAGTAGGGCAATGAAGCTGGTGAGGGGTCTTGAGCATAAGTCTTATGAGGAACTGCTGAGAGAACTGGGGTTGTTTAGCCTGGAGAAAAGGCAGCTGAGGGGAGACCTTATGGCTCTCTAGAACTACCTGAAAGGAGGTTGTAGCGACATGGGGGTTGGTTTCTTCTCCCAAGTTACAAGTGATAGGACAAGAGGAAAGAGCCTCAAGTTGCACTGGAGGTTTAGATTGGGTATTAGGAAAAATTTCTTCACTGAAAATGTTGTCAAGCATTGGAACAGGCTGTCCAGGGAAGTGGTGAAATCACCATCCCTGGAGGTATTTAAAAGATGTGTAGATGTGGTGCTGAGGGACATGGTTTAGTGGTAACTTGGCAGTGCTAGGTTAATGGTTGAACTTGGATGATCTTAAAGGTCTCTTCCAACCAAAACGATTCTATGATTCCATGATTCTAGGTATCTTCAAGTGTAGTGTGGGATTGATTATAAAAAGGTGATGCAATCCAATCAGGAAATCTACCTGCATTAATGTATACAGAGATGCTGAAAATCATGTCAAGGGTGACCACTTCAGTATTACTTTTCACACACTTTAATGATGATCTTTTCATATTCTTTATTTCCGTATAAGCTTACTCTGTACCTCCAGCAAAGCTTCCACAAGTGTAAGGAGACTAGTTCTTTGTTTACGTATAGAATAATGGTACAGAACTGCAAGTAGTAGTATGGAATAAAGGGATTTCACACTTCATCATCATGTCGGCAATACACTGTAGTCAGGACAGAACAACTCCTGGCACAGTTAATGGTGGCATCCTTGCCACAGCAACATTGAGCCCAGCACAGTGTAATTTACCTTTTGTTGTAAGCAAATTTTGCAGCCACTGCAACATAGCCTGAATCTCACTTATAATCTAAAGGAGGAAGGCTTAACTGTGTTGCCAGTAGTTTCAGTTGTGGAATCTCTCTTTCTTTGATTCCCTGACAATGCCATAATCAGACAGGGAAACAGCATCTTTTGTTGAATGCCATGGCAGAGTCCCTAAGTAAAAGTTTTTCTGCATTTTAGGAAATATTCTTCAAGACCTTAGAGAGCAAGTACTTGCAATCAGAAATCAGCCTGCACTCATAGATTGTAGTGAGGAATATCATTAGCCTATGAAACTTGTCTCCACAAAGATTATTATTAATAAAGTGGATGTATTGCTTTATGAAATAGCACAAAAATGAATAATTCATATTAATAAATCCTCTTCTTATGAGATTCTTCAGAGGAGTGCATTGTGTCCAAGTGATTGTCATTAAAATTAGGTCATGCATAGCATCAGATGCCAAAGAACATTTGAGTGATGGCAGGTGTAACTTTCAAAAGAGGGCTAATCATACTGTTATAAGGGAGGAGGATAGTAACGTTCCATTGGTATTGCACCTTCTTTGTAAATCCATGAAAGAAATTCTAGCTACCTTTTCTTTGAAGAATTTACTCCTTAGTTGGAGTGGTTGGCAGCAACATTGTCTATTTTGCCATGTAATGAGGAGTAGGTGTGATCTTCCAATCAGGTATGTGCATAAAGGGAAAAAAAAAAAAAAGCCTTACCTGGTTATATAATTAAAGACAGCACGATAACATAAGCACAGTGGAGAAAGCATAAACACCCTTAATTATGGTGTTTCTTAACCTTTGACTATGTGAATCTGCAGCCTTTAACAGTTTTAAATATAGTCTGTGTGTAAACTATAGACTAAATAAAAGTGGGAATGTGGAATTGTGTTAAAATAGTCGTCAGGCTTTTCAAGCTCATTTTCTTTCAATATTGTCACTTTTTGCTTGAGTGGGTTGGAAAACTGACAAACATAATGTATGTTGTATAAATAACTGAGCAGTAATCACCATAGTGGATATATAAACTTCTTTCTTTTCATTCTGTTATCTGCAGTCTTTAAGAATCCATTGCTCACTAGGAATGCAGACATAGAGTTACGTCTTCATAAACATACTAACTGTGGTGCTTTGTTCATTTTCCAGGATTTTCTTTGCATGCTGTTGGAAGACAACCCTGAACAAAAAGAGTAAGTGAGAACCAGGCTAAAAAAGTGAAAGAAAGTATAAATCATATTTTAATGTCAGCTGTGCTAGCCAGAAATAGTAGGATTTCATTTAGTATTTTTCTGCTTGTTTTTTTCAAGTGTGCGTGTGTATCTTTCTCTGAAAATTCCCATACATATATACACCAAATATATAAGACATGCTGTGTTATTGCAATCCCATGCTCCCCCCAAGCAGCACCTTTAACGTGCACGTTAGGGTGATCAGTGAGGTCCTGTGTTCACTGTGTGATCTGAAGTGCCAGGCACAGCTGCCTACTCAAATTAATCTGTCATCCTTCTGCCAGCTGCTTTTGGCACATGGCACCCTACAGCAAGGAGGCCAGAGCTTTGCCATGGATCTGGGAAACCAGAGAAGATGGATTTTTCTCAAGCAGCAGTCTGGTACCATCCCCTTCCTGTCATACAGTATGTCAAACAGGGAAGGATGGAAAACACTAATGGAAATCCAGCACTAATTGCCTGACATGTCCTTCAAAATACTCCTACATGTGACTGTGACTGGCTGACGATGATACAGCTAGTCTTTAGCAGAGCTTTGAATCCACTCCTGCTTATCTGTTGGTTTGTTCTGTGCTACTACAGACTCTGCTACAAATACACGTTCTTTTGCAGTGGAGCTTTACCTGCTATAGTTTTTAAAAATAGCATATTCACTTGAAAAATGCAATTGTGAGGAGCAGGATTCCAAAAGTCTTCATAAATCTGGGTGACTAGTTTGGAAAAAAAAGGAGAGAATATATTAATAGAAATCAAATGTATTGAGTTTTTTAGTGAAACACTTCTGTTCTTAGGGGGTGAAGGACAGAGAAACTAGTTATCATTGAGATAATGTGTTTTGTGGCATCATGAGTTTAGTTTGGGTGGTGTTACATTTTCCAATGATGTACCGTTGGATGATTTTTTGTTTATGTCATTGGATGTGGGTTTCCCGCCCAAATACGATTAGGAATATTAAATGGAATATATGAGAAGGTGGATTATTTAATGGCCTGATTATACATTGATTTGTTAATAAAATCTCTTTTTTCTTTCCTTTTTTCACTTATGTTTCTCTAAAGTCCAAACCCAGTGCAAAATTTTACTTGAATAAGCATCTGATTTTGCACCTAGAAACATGCCAAAATATTTAAACTTTCAGTGAGACTAACGTAAAAGAAGTATGTCTCCTTTTGCATTGCATCACACTCCAGAATATATGAACAAAATTTCAAATCTATGGTAATTCATTTTGCAATCACACATATAGCATATCTGAATCTGTCTACTGCCAAAATTACCTTGGGTGCAGATATCAACAGCAATGCCAAGAATAATATAACATCTGGATATACAGAAGCCCTTTATTTCTTACCTGCTACAAAGATGTTTTTTCATTCTTGAATGTATTCTGTTGCTAGTACACAAAAAGTAGTCTGAGGTAAAAGCAAAGGGAGGAAAGATAAAAACGAAATAATTTTAGAGATCATCTGATGAGTGCTTTTTCGCACAAAGTTTCAGTTGCAGCAATGAAATGCATTTCAAGATTAGAGCAACAAAATTTGTAGCACACAAATCCTCCCAGAATTGTGCAGTTCTCCCAAGTAAAATTTTAATGTTTAAACTAAATGCTTCTTACTTGAACAATATTAATCACTTGTAGAAATTAGTATTAGAGAATCAAGCCAAATCCTTCCCTCAGGTGTGGCAACAGAGGCAAACCAGTGTAGCTAGGAGTAAAATTTGGCTTATGGGAGACTTCTGTAACGAGAACAGGATTGACATTGGCAGAAGGCAATCATACAACAGTGTGGAAATTTTCTATAATTATTACACTGGTGTAATGCAACATTAGTTTTCTGCTGTTGGATACAACAGACTATCTAAAAGATTCTCACTCTTGCAGTACTTAATTCCTTTAGTTTTTAGTTACAGGAGATTTTTTAGTACATTCCCAGCGACGAGCAGCTCCAAGATACAGACACAACTTCTTAAGTGCCATTCATTCATTTTTGCTGCCTTCTCTACTCAGAGGAGGAGAATTATATGCCTAGCTTACCGGGCTACCTCACTTCCTCCTCTGACTCAATGTTAATGGCAGAGTAGCTGTAGGAATCCCTTCTTGAAGGCAGGACCCTCCTGTTTCTGGGCTGTGGCTGAATACTGCTATCAGACAGGCCTGGCACTACCTGCTGGTCCTTTAGAATTTCCTAACTTGCCCTTAAGGCAGATTGTTTCGCTGTGTGAAGGGCTGATGGCAAGAAGGACGAACAAGTATCTGTCATTATCCTTCTCTGTTTTCAAAGCCTTTTAAAATATAGCATGTACTGGCTATAGCCTCACATTATCTTGGCCTTTCTGTAGAAAATCTACAATACAGTCCACCTGTAACTGAGGCATCTTATTTCCTCATATATAATTTGAAATGTCAGTACATTAAAAAAAAAAATGCCAAATGCAACAAAAACAACAGCAACAAACACTCTTATGTGTCTGTAGATCACTGTGCACTAGATTTGAGAAAACTCCCAGTGGCTCTGCTCTCCCCAAGGCTTACACCCATCATCTTTGCTGTAAATTGATCCTGTCCACATCTGCCCAACATGTGAACCGTGCAAAGGCTCAGTGTTTTTAGGGCCCTGTAACAGGGGGTGAGTTTCACCAGCCTCTGGCGCCTCAGCTGCTTGTGCTTTTTATGACTGCAGATTTTTTTTAAGCAGGTCAGTTCTGTTCTTTGGGGTCTTCTGGTGGTATTTTTTTATTTAATTTCATTCAATAAAATAAATAAGTGTACTAATAAAGCTACGATTTTAATAATACACGATAGACAAAGGAAGGCTTGTGTTATAGCTCTGCTATTTGTACTGTTAATAACTGAGGCTTACTAACCACATTCCTTGGATGTCTTCAGAAATTGTCAGTTAAGTACTAAATCAATGTTTAAATAATGCTGTAATTTCAAACTACTCAGCTATACAGGTATAGGTCTCTGTTTCATACTTGCTTTCTTTGTTACTCACATTGTCATGAATGTGGTGATTTTGATTGAGACAAACAGCTGGTAGGCACCCAACTCCCAAAACAAATAATTGGGAAAGATTTTTTCCAGTTTTTTTGATTCATCTGGTTTTTTTTGGTAAGCCAAAATATATACACTGGACAAAAAACAAAGGAAATCTTACCTGCAGGAAGCTATGGCTAGTTGACAAGATCACTAATCAGTCAGTAGTCTTTGATTTGCTCTAACTATGCCTCCATATTTAACTGGAATGGCTTGCTTTGAAAATGATTGATGTGTATGAGTGTATATATCCAGATGAAGCAAATATGCATGTTGTATTTTCAGTTGGATGTGGCAGACTTTTTATCTTCTTTTACAAAAAAAAAAAAAGTTGCACACTTTCATGTGCACTGTTTATTTGCTGTAACATCTCATTCTAAAAGTGGTTTATCCTCCTTGACTGAGGAATTAAGTGGGTTTATGTTAAAGTTTGTAGAGTGCCTTCAGGCCTTATGCAATGAAAACTTGATATATAGGCATCTTTTATAATGCTAATTTTCAAATTATTGTTAACGTTAGTATTTTACAGAGCTTGTTCTTAAGAATTGAATCTGGCCACGAACAGTATGTATACCTGTTAGGAGATCATTCCTAGGCTTAGGATCTATCTTATCATCTAAAAAAATAGACAGGGGATGAGATAATGGATGTACTAGAATTCTCATTTTACAGCAGGGAACTGTAGTACAAAGCAACTGAAGAACCTGCCCAGCCTTGTAAGAGCTGTTATGGTGCTAATCAATTGAACCCATATCCCACAGTCCAATACAGTACCTTAATCAGAACGTCATTGAGGAAATCACACACATAAAACAGATTTAAGTCCTTACAGATGCTTAACTGCAACATAAGCAGGTGGTAAGTGCCCTTTCTGAATATGGATGCTTTACTGAACTGCAGCCTCTATAAATAGCAGGCCCTGTGTCCTTTCTGTAGGACATTTGTTTTGAAATAGCAATCTGTTTGTGATCTAGTTTTTGAGCTTGATCCGAAGCCCAGCAAATTAGTGGAAACCTTTCCAAGGACTTCACAGTTCTTCAGTATTGACTCTCAACGCATTCAGAGCAGAGCTTCGTAATAGTCTGCGTATTACTAATATATTTGGAAAAACAATGTTGGACGCCTGTAAAATGCTAAAACAAGTTTCTTTCTTTTTGATGGGTGCCAACAAGAATGTCCTAAGTTGGAAAAAAAAAAAAGGTGTGTGAAAGTCCAAACAACGAAGATGCATGTGGTCATATGAAACGTGTTTAGCTGAAACTGAGGGTGCTGCCGGCAGAGAAATAGCAGAGTTGTTGTCTTTGCCCTTGAGAAAAACAGGAAAAGTTTCAGGAGAGGCTGAGCAACTTACTGGTGGTGTTTCTGCCTGGATTGGTGTGCTGTCAGAACACTGCAATTCCCCTCAGTGTCATAAGTTCATTTCAAAGCCAGTGTTTCGAAATGAGCTTGGAAAGAAATAGAGGGTAGATTAAACAGAGGAACTACATAGCAAATGTAGTGTTATTATTTTGCTTTTTTTTTTTTTTTTCTGAGTAAATCTCACACTTTAAATGAAGCTTAGGTTGGGGGGTGGGGCGGGGAAGGGATGCAGGAAGAAGGACAAACTGGCATTGTGAGCCTGTGTTTCTTATCCCTAGGCAAGACAAATTACATGCACAAACAAGGGTATTTTTCCCTGGCTGCTAGCTCTGCTTCAGCATTGGAACAGTAAACTGTATTGGTTTTGATTCATGCAATTACAAATAAAAAATTGTTATTTTGAGTATACTTCTTGAGATAAAATAAATGGTATGATCCACCTGATCTACCTTTGACTATATAAAACCTGAGTATCCAGTTTTAAGCTAGTCCTGTATGCGCTCTCCGTAGTAACCACACAGAGATAAGAACTCAAAAAAAACCATCTTATCCCAAGTAAGGTGAATTGCCTGACTGTTTGGAGATAATTCTCTTTCTCTCCATTCCTTTTGGAAGGGACTCAGCTAACTTAGAATAGACACCAGTTTTTAGAGCACTGTAGTAGGGTAAAGGTAATTATAGCCTGAATGAGCTGGCAGTCAAATGCTCTAATTTTAATAAATTTGCACAAATTACAAGGTGCTACTAAATGCTGACCAAATCTGGATATTTAGTAATTCATTTAAATGTAGGGCACTACCCCATTGCAAGCATGGTGTATGTGTTCAGTTATATGTAGAAAATCGATTTCCATAATGATTCAGCGTGCAGAATGGTAATTTCCTGAAAATTCAGAATCCTGAACATGTAGAAATGCTTCTGCATGATTGCTGCCATTATTTGGACGACATGATCATCAGGGGGAAATATTTTTTTTTGTCTGTGACAGTCTACGATCTCCTAATGTTAAAAGAGAGATTTTGACATTTCAGATTTAGTGATTGGGAAGATTTCGTTGTCTCAGTGGGAACTATTCTCCCTTCCAGGACTTTTAAAGTCACCTCAGCTGGGCTGATATGTAATCTCTTACTTATAAAGACACTGTTGAAGTAAAGTTTATACATAAATTGCACAAACTATCAAAATATATTACCAGCAGTGAATAGACTGGTGCTGTTTCTGCATTAAGCCTCCTTGGCCTGCACCATAAGGTATGACTGATCAAAACCTGAAGAAAACTATCAATAGAAAATGAAAGCACGTATAAACGGCTTTACTGTCATTGTAATCAGAATGTTGTTCTTCTTTAGTCTGTAGCTTCTTCCGATTTTCAGTATGATGATGTAGGCCCTGTATGCACGCATGTCTTAGTAGCCGAATGACATAGGGCAGCATTTGTAAGGCAAGGCTTTCTTATGTTTAAGGCACTCGGTGTCTGGTTTTTGCCTTTTGTTACAAAATTCCTGTGTATGTTGGACAAGCTTATTACGACCAGATTGCTTATTTTTTTGCAGATACCGTTGAACAATTACTCAATGAGAAGGCAGCTGACTCTCTGGTCAGAGAGGTGACTCTCTGATCATTTTGATCAGATTCTCCCACCCCTAATTCATATTGGCAGAATTTTATTCTATTAGGTAGACCTGCTAATTTTAATGGATCTCCTTTGGAATACTGCTAAGTGTGAGTAGGGATGTCACATCTCCCAACACAGTGGTGTAGAGTGGAGGTTGTAGCTGCTAATTCTACCTCAAAGCAGTGCTAACACATAGTTCTGCTTGGAGATGGATGGTAAATTTTTCATCTTGGATTCAGCAAGGATAAGAATATCTAACTCAGGATATAAGCCATATCTGGGAAAATGCTGTTGTTACATGTGTTAATATCAAATAATTTAAATCTTTGTCCATTCCAACTAAAAAACGTAAATACTAAAACGTAAAAAAACCCGTAATAACTATGATCAGTAAACACACAGAAATTTATACTGTGTGGATATGTTCCAGGGTCATCCGCTTGCTTGACTGCTTTTGAGACTCCATAAGCTCTCTAAGCCTTAGTTTTTCCCATTTGCATGTCAGGTATAACAGTGATTGATCTCTCTCCCATTGGCATAGTAAAAGTTAATATTTAAAGGTGCTTAAAAATCATTCAGTAAAAATGACTGATGTATTCATTACAAATCCTTCTAAGTCACTGATACAGTCCATAAAGAAACATCCTTTAGGGTCAGAATTTTGAGCACAGCTTTGTCAGGGGTTGGGAGGGGGAGGCTTCTTTGTCATGTAATTCAAATAAAAATTGTATTGGGTTGCTGGCCTTCCTGCTTCAGAGCTTACAAATGTCTGTTCTTTTCATGAATGCTTCGTTGGTTATAAGTGTACATGACACACATGAAGGTAGGGGCAAGTATTAGAATGAGTCTTGCCAAGGCATTACCATAGACAGGAGCATGGGCATCTATTCTGCTTCTCAGAATATTTATACTCATTGAAGGCTAACTCAAGTTCCTTTTTGAGTATTAGAACATTGCATGGACTGTGCAATTTATTTTCTTTTTTTTTTTTTTAATTGGCTTCCCTGCAAGTTCAGAAGACTTCAACCAGAGCTGAAGTAAATTACTTACAAAAGTAAAAGGGGAAATATAATTTCTGAATTTGCAATTACTTATTTCAGTCCCACACAGCTTGATCATGACAGACTAGTTCCTTTTGTTGGGGCTCCAGACTATTCTGTGACTTCACTGTGAATGTTATCAGGATATAAAGAAAATGCAGAAAAGATGAGACTGAAATATATTAGATACTTGGTAACTTTGAGGATTAATATCCATCAGTGCTTTTTAAAACCTAAAAGTTTAAGGAAGTTTGCATTTCATTTCATTTTCTTTGGTATTTTGGCTTTACATTTAGGCTGCTTCTGTAATAAAATACTGGTTTTTAATGTCTCCGGCTAAATTTATGTGCCTGTAATCTTTTTTTTTTTTTTGTGTGCGTGAAAGAAACAAAAATCCACTCAACAAGAAGTAGAGCACCTGTTCATACTTTACATGTTTCATAAATGTTACACATTCTCTGTCAGTCCTCATAAGCACTGGATTTATCATGGAGTTTTAAGCACATCATTGAGTTTAAACACACTGATCTGTTTTGGTTTGCTCATACCTGATGGTATTATTCATTAAAAAAACAAGAATGTAGTAGCACTACAGTACAACCAATACTTGGAATTCAGGGTTTTGCTCATCTTCTAAAGGGTTAATTGTTATGTGGAAAAATTGGTATTTTTGTGTGTGTCTTCTAATTTTTGTTTATTTTTTTTAAGGTCTGGGTTAACTGTAGAAAGTATCTTCCAGAATTGGCTTGACACTTCGGGAATGCCAAAGGTAAATACAAAATTCCAGTTCCCAGTTCTTTCTGGAGTCTTGCATTTCTCATTACATTGTAAGTTATTTAAATCATTACCTGAACTTATAATAGGTATAGTTTTAAATAAACAGTTTTGATGATGACGGCTTTCCACATCTTTCTATGGGTTTAGCTTTTATCGGTTGCAGGTTTTTGCTTCTACTATCATCTCAACAAACCTGTCAAAGGGCAAATCTTACAAAACTTGTCCTCTGCTTAGTACTGTAGTCACATGAAGTATGCTTTACAGGAGTAGTGATGGACTCTACTAAATGTAAGGAGCATTGTGCACAGTTGACAGTATATTAATTACTTGAAAGCCCTACTGACAGCAGTAACTAAATGTTAAATTATTTGTTATTTTGTGAATATTGTGTCTTGCTCAAGAATCTGCTGCACAGGTAACATATTTCATTGGTGTTCCAGTTCTGTTGCAGTTGACACTGAGCATTATTTTCTGCTTTTAATACTAAAAGCTTTTAATATTAACGTTTTAAAATCTGTGAACTTAAAATACTTAGTTGCGTCTGTGCTATGTGAAGGTTCTGATTATTCATGTTGGTCCAAAACTGGGATTAGCTGAAGAAAGATATCTCTATATAAATCTTCTTAAAAAACAGTTTTATACAAAGTATTGTTTTATTAGATGCTTGGGGCTCAGTTTCTAACTAATTTCTTCTAAGCTGACATCCCCTTAGGTTGCTTGGGATTTATCTTACCTAGTGCTTGCATTTGTTTCCAATTTGCACGAGCATTAAAAAAAAAATACAACTTTTAGTATGATAAGTCATGGTTTGTATGCGCAAAAGTGAAGGTACTTGGGCAGCATGAGTGAGGCTGTGAGGAGTGGATATGTTTGCAGGTAGAATTGTCAAAATAGCTGGAGAACTCAAAATGGTAAGCAGCGGTCACTGAACCTGAGCTGTTCCCAAACACTGTGGTTGAGCTCTTCACTTGACAGCTTTAGAGGTGTGCGTGTCCACCATTCTCTGTATGCTGTAGAAGGCCCTTTTGGAAGTTCTTCCCTGAGATCAACATGTTCACAGGCTAATATTTGAAGATCAAGGTGGAGTTTGTTTTTTTTCTGTAAAATTATTGAAAATAAAATTAGCTTTAATTGAAAGCGAGGAAAGGAAGGGACAGTAAGTATCATCATGCATCTTGATGTTCAGTCATTTCTTGAAAACGGACCTTGATTTTAATGCTATATTTTGATCAAGGTTTTGCCCCTGAGAAAATTGAATACATTGTAGAACAGCTGCTTCAAGAATAGGGGAGCAACTGACGTTGCACAGCTGTAGTTGTAAGATGCTGAACTGGCTGTCTGTTTTCTGGCATTTTACTTAGAGGTATTTGAGGATGTGCATTATTAGTGTCCCACAATCAACTCTTAAATCACAAATAAGAAAGACAGGAGCAGACTAAAGAACTGAAAATGGTTTTGATTAATGTCAAATCTGAACTCTCTTTTCCTGAGTGCATACCATAAGTTGTTCAGAATGAATAGTGAGTAGTTTCATTATACCCTGAAAGGATCTATTGGTTGTGTGAGCAAAACATGTAACAAAAATATTTCCACATCCAGCAGGTTTGTAAATCATTGTAAGTTTTCTCTAAAGACCAAAGAGATTTCCCTGATATTTTAGCTGTTTTGCAAAAACAACGTCAACAGGAATGGTCCTGATTTAGTATTCTGCTTCTTCTGAGAATCAGCATGCTGACTTCTTCCCTCTGTCTCTCCTTTCTCTCAGTAACCTTTTTGATGATTTACCCTTGTTGCCTTCAGCACTTCTCGGGCTCTTGTGGGAACTTGTTTCCACTTTATTGAAAGAGCTGGAGTTGTTGTCGTTCAGTGAATAGGAAACCTTGTTTCATTTGTGCTTTATTAAATCATTCGGGGAGCCCTTATTCCTGAAATCCAGACTGTAGAGCTTGCTTAGTAGCTCTCAATATGTTCATATCTATGATCTAAATATGACTGTATTTACTGACTATAGAACTATTAATCTACTCATGTGCTGTACGGGAGCTAATACTGAAACCCCCTTAGAAAATATTTAGATAATCTTTATTTCAGCAAACCATTAAGTTGGCTAACATGATGAATCTATGTGAGGGCACATAGACCACCTTCTTCCATGCAGGTCTACTACCTGCATCATAAATAGCAGCCCAGGAACACCACAGAACTGATTTATTCTCTCTCATATGGGTTTCCAGAGGAGTGGACTGGGGTGTGTATAGAGGAAGGGTTCTGTCAGCTCCTTTGGGTGAAGTCATACGGCTGAGCCAGCCACTCAGGCAGTGTGAGCAGTGTGAGGTACTGAGTATCCATTGCAGTTGATTATCTTTCTTGAGTTACTAGAGCAACTGAAAAGCAGCTGCTTACCACCCTTATTTTACTGGCTGCACTATAGTCCCGTAGCATAATAGTCGAAGTCAATCCTGCAGCACCTACTCTTAGAGGGACAAAATGCATTTCTTAGTGGTTTAGTGGTACTTAGGAGAAATAACTCGATTGAGAATTTAAAAATTTTAAATTTACACATGCTATCTAAGACTTCACTGCCTTTGGAGAGGAAACTTCCTTACTGGAGAGACACTCCTTTCTAATGGGATTGGGAAATATGCATCATGCTGTCCATTCTGAAAATCAAGTGAGAACATGGTTCCTTTATATCTCTCCCATATGAGCATTTTTATACTTTATAGTGGCTGTGGTTGTTTCTGTGGCATCTTTTCTTTCTATGTTTCAGTGTGTTTTGCTTAGGAAATTCACGTCATTAACTAAGCAGAAAATTCACCACTTGTGGTTGATTTACTGCATTAGCTACCAAAGTGTTAAGAATTTTCTTCCATGGTTATATGGTTACAATTCTGTAACCTGTATACAACTAGTACTCTCTAAAATTTCATCACTTAAAACCAGAGTTGTTAGGCAACCCCTTGGTTCACTGTCTTCACAGCAGTGTCTACCTTAAGGACACTGGAGCAAAAGATGGGCTGGGTAAATAATTTCCACTCCCCAAAGTGCTGAAGCAACATTACTTACCATCTTCCCTCCAGTAGAGTAATTAGCATTTTGTATTCTTTACAGCCATATGTTATGGCATCTGTCTAACTGAAGATCCTGTACTCTTTTACCTGTGATTTGTTACATTTGCCATTCTGAATCCTGTCTCCAACTCTGTCCAGGGAACCTCATATACAGACCCCTTTATACTTGCAACTTACAAACATTGAAACTTTAATATTTGTCCATTTCTATTACCATTTCACTCTTCAAAAAGTCATTTGGTCTTTTCTAAATATAGGGCCAGTTTCCAGGCTCATGTATATACCAGCAGTAATCAAGAATAACTTAACTTAAGGGAGTCATACTGATAAATAAAAACAGAATTTGGCCTGTTGCCATGAAAAACTAATTCTGCGTGCCAAGTTACACTTCCAAATTTTGTATTTTCTAAAGCATTAAAGTTTAATCATATAAAAAAGGGTGTGTGGTAGTGCCTCGCCAATTCTTTTTTACATGGAAGACTGCCACAGCACAGTGGTTGTTTCAGGCTTGCTGTGCAGGAAGGTTTTCTCACACACAAAACAATCGGGAACATAAGAGCTGCAAAGCAAGCATTTCTGAAATACAAGCTTTCATGAGCTTTTCTGAGAACACATTGTGGTGGTGTTAAATAAGGTGAAGCATATTGCATTGTTGAAAATACCTTTTATAAAATCAAGCAACCTTCAGCATGTACTTCTGTCTCACTCAGAGGTGACTCACCAGGGGATTATAGCAACTTTTCATCGTGTACAAGTAGTAATGACTGAACACCACCAACTTTAGTCAATGAGTTAAGCTGGCAAGGAGTAGAATCAGAAGAACGAAACTGCATTTAGAGCTGGAAAACACCTATGAAATCACTTAAGTCCACTTCATCCCTGCTGCTGCTGATTTGTTGTCTTAAATACAGTTTCTATTGTGTCTTTCACACATTTCTGTGTAACGTTTACTTGGAGTTTAAGACTAAAAGACCATATCCTCCTTGAGGAAGATTTTCTCAGTTCTGTACAGACTTGTCTTTGTGTTATATTGCCCACTTACTCTGAATTTCTTATTCTACCCTAGATAATCAACCTCTTAAAAATATGCTTAAAATCTTTCCCCATTCTGAACTCTTTTGTACACTGTTTAACTGAGAGGTAGACCAATAAACATTAGGTAGTCTCTGCATCTCATAAACTCCTACATGTATTTTTTAACTCATTCCAGTTTCACCACCTTTTCTTTTGCCTCTGAAACTGCATTGTTTCATAATATACTATGATTTACTGGTAAGCTTGCAATCTTGAATGTTCCTTGGGTGTGTATTTCCTTTGATACCTTGTGCGATGAAAACAATCTTCTCTAGATTCATTCTTGAGTTAAAAAGAAAAAGGTGAAAAAGGAAAAAGAAAAGAAAAAAAGAGTAGTTGGCCCACTCCTTCATGATTTTTAGTTTCCAACAGATCCTTCAGTGTAATCTACAAGTCTTACATGATCACATAGCTGCAGGCACTAGGGTAAACACATTGAACATCCCCTCAAAACTATGAAGAAATTGCAAGAGGCCATATCACTGCTGTATCCTTCTCCTAGTCCCTTTTACTACTTTATCCTCCTGTAAAAGCCTAATTCTTATCCACTGTTGTACTTTAAGCAGTATTTCCTGATTAAAGTAGGTACTGCCAAGAGGTTTTCAGAGTATGTACAGCTTATTGTGTGTATTGTGAGAATACTAGCCCATGCTTTCTAATTCTGAATGAACAGCCTTCTCTTACAAGACTAAGAATTTTGACATTTAAAAAGAATTCATATTTTCTCCTCTCTGCACTGCTTTTTGTTACCGTAGTAAAACAGTAGTTTAAGCTACATTTACTAACGTTATTTGTAAATCATCTACATTGCTGGAAATACACAGTCAAAAGAAATCTTCCAGTGGTG